CCCCGTACTTCACACAATAAATGCTCCCTCTGATTAACACAAGTGATCAACAAACAAAAGTGCTGACTGAGCACAACCCTAGCACAGACTGACCTCACAACAAGGTCACACAAACTGTCACACAACAATATCACACACTGGTTTAAAAGTATCAAAAAGCTGACAAATCCAAATATAGATTCGTTCACCGCAGGACGATTTCACTGAAATCGGTGGGTAAAGCTCTGCAACAAGCACAAGGTAATCCCACAGCGCCGTCTCACACGCCCGGAGTTGGGCCTCAGGTGTCCAGGGTCCACTGTCTCACACTACTGTCTCTTGGAGTACTGCTCGTAGATGGAGGCTCCGGCCTTGAGCTTCATGTACTGGTTCGTGGTTCGTGGGAACAGACTGGGGACAAACAGAGGTAAGTCATTACTTGTGCTACATGGACTGGTTCATGGGGACACAATCATTGTGCTACATGGACTGGTTCATGGGGACACAATCATTGTGCTACATGGACTGGTTCATGGGGACACAATCATTGTGCTACATGTACTGGTTCATGGGGACACAGACAGAGCTAAGTCATAACTTGTGCTACATGGACTGGTTCGTGGTCGTCACTTGAGCTAGATCCCACCGTCCTGTACAGTGCAGCCTGTCTAGAACAACATCGTCGGGACCAGAAGAAAATGTCGTTATAGAGAGTTGTCGTTATAGAGAGTTGTCGTTATAGAGAGTTGTCGTTAAAGAGAGTTGTCGTTAATCTGGACCTGGCCACGATGTCGCTATACAGAGGATTTCGTTCTACTGAAAGTCGTTGTAGAGAGACTGCAGTGTACATGACACACATCCATCATGTAAAGCTGTATCTGTCTCACTGACAGAAAATACCTCAACTTTTTCCTGTTCCAAACTACTGCCCAGGTTAACCGGCGGGTCTTCCAGGAAAATCAGGAGACAGCATACACGTTATAGAAGAAAAGTTGTACATGGACAAAGTTGGTTCCTAGTAACTGTGACAACTAGAACCAGTAACTGTGACAACTAGAACCAGTAACCGTGACAACTAGAACCAGTAACTGTGACATCTAGAACCAGTAACTGTGACAACTAGAACCAGTAACCGTGACAACTAGAACCAGTAACCGTGACAACTAGAACCAGTAACTGTGACAACTAGAACCAGTAACTGTGACAGTGACCGCCCCAAGTACTCACAGCCCTATCCTGGTGCTGAGCCACATGGAGGGAGGGGAGAAGATGAGCTGTTGGTTCCTGAGGAGTCCGTCGACAGCCGTGACAACCGTGTCGTGAGCGTTCCGGGCCGCCTGGAGTCTGAGGACACACGGAATCAGAAACTGTCGGGGGAACTCACATGGCGTAGTCAGATATAACTGTTCATATGTTTCAGCCTGCACATCAATATCTATAGCTATATGTCTATCTATTACATCTATTACATCGATATCTATAGCTATATGTCTATCTATTACATCTATTACATCGATATCTATAGCTATATGTCTATCTATTACATCTATTACATCTATATCTATAGCTATAAGCCGACCTATTACATAAAACCCCAGAAGCCTCAGTCCACAAGACCCCCGGCTCTGTAAAAAGCCCCAGCACACAGCGCTGACATTCCTGTATTAAAACCAGTCCTGGCACATTTTCCTTTTTCATTTTTCAAATTCTAGAAACATCTATCCACTTCAGGCGCCATTACCCCACCAGGTCCTCGCTGACCTAGGAATCCGCGTCCATCGACCCTGTGGAGGTTATTTATCCCCTCCTCCTTGCTGCCTATAATTATGCTCATTACATCCACACATTATTCTGATCTTTCAGTTACATGACACTGCTGACAGGCATGTACTATAGGAAAAAAAGGGAAACTTATTTATTATGCATAACTTGTACTACAGATACTTTTAGCATGCATCACATTCTGTTTTTGTGAGATATGGTGTGTGATAAGATGTACAAAGCAATTGTCACAAGTTGACC